CGCTGCGTGGGGGCTGCCTGGGTGACGCTGCGTGGGGGCTGCCTGGGTGTCGCTGCGTGGGGGCTGCCTGGGTGCTCGGTAGGGCACTGCTGCTGCTGCTGCTGCTGCTGTGTGTGTGCGACTCTTTTGGCTCCTGGAGGAAGCTGGTGAGGGAGGCTGCCGGCTGCAGGGGAGCCCGGCCCCACCGAGCACAAAGCTGGGCGTGGTGTCCCTTTATCTCTCTTGGTGTGGGGCCTCTTCTGCTCTGGACAGGCCGGGACTCAGGAGCTCACAGTGACCCCTCAGCACCTCCCCTTCAGCTTCAGCTGAGCACTGGATCTCCAGCGTCCCTGGTTCTGCAGCTGCTAGGCCTCGGCGGAGCCAGGCCCCCAGCACCCAGGGCCTCCAGCCTATAGGCAGCCTATAATCCAGGGAGCCAGTCCCCGCGCCCTCCCCTGCCCACCCCTCCCTCCTCCTTTCTCACCCCATATCTCCATTTCTCTTCTCCCTCCTTCCCCTCTTGTTCCCCACCATCTCTCCAGTGGCTCATCCCTGAGAACACGACTAATACATACAGGTTTAGGAATGGTCTCTTTGTATCACTTGTACTTTTTTAAAAGTTAAGACTCTTTGGCTTAAATCTGTCAACAGTTTCTACTGAATTCTGTAAGAAAGTTAGAGAAAATCTAACACCAATACCCCTCAAACTCTTTAATGAAATTGCAAAGGAAGCAGAACTCCCAGAATCGTTCCTGGGAGCAAGTATCACCCTGAGTCTAAAACCAGAGGTGGACCAACCAAATAGAACTGCAGGCTGACTTCAAAGAGCACAGATGCAAAAGTCATCAAAGATACTGGCAAACGGAATCCAACAAATCAATGAAAGGTCATATACGATGACCAAATAGGATTTATTCCAGGAATGTAAGACTGGTCCAACATAGGCAAATTAATAAATGTAGTATACTTCATCAACAGAAACAAGGACAAAAAAAAAAAAATCACATGATCTTCTCAGAGATGCAGAAAAAGCATTTGACAAGATCCAGCATCCACTGATGATAAAAGATCCTGAAGAAAATAGGTGAAGGTCTTTATCTCAGTCTGATAAAAGTTATTTATACCAATCCAATGGCTAATGTCAGACTAAAATAGGGAAAAGATGAAGGCTTTCCCTCTAAAATCAGGAAAGAGATAAGGATGGCTGCTATGACCACAACTGTTCAATGCAGTTCTGGAAGCATTAGCCAGAAAACTAGACAGGAGGAAGAAATAAAAGGGGTATTATGACAGTTGACCTTGAGTAAGAAACACCAAAAGACTGGATCAGATGACTGGATCACTGATGATTGGCTAGTTCTGGGTGTGGCTGAGGGGATGAACTGAAGACAGAAGACCTGCCCTGGGCGTGAGTGACAGCAACCAGTTGGCTGTAGCCTGGATGGAATAAAAAGGAGGGAGAAAAGGACAGCTCCCTTTGTTTCTTCAGAAGAGCTTCAGTCTTTGCCATCACCTTGGGAGTCCGTTCCTGGCTTCCAGTACAGGCCTCTCAGCCTCCTGCTATGCA